GAAGCCAACTGTTTCCAATAACTTTTTATTAAACAACTGACTGTACAATAACATGAAAAATATTGTAATCAAAGAGCTTGTTAATATACCCTTAAAAGACTGGGGGCTAATTTCCCACTGAGGAACCCCTTATTGGCAAAGGTTAAGTTTTCTCCTTTTGTTTGAAGCCATAATTAACTTAGCTATTTGGGTGTCACTACAGCCAGAATAAGACTATGAACAAGAACTTTGTTTTTCCATCAGTCCTAAAATAAAATCATAGTAATAGATTTCTCTGAAGTTGCAGCTGGGAAACCAGCGGAGGGAGCTAGAGGACGTTTTGATATGTCTCAAAAATTTTTACACTGTAAAATAAGGTCATTAGTCATCAGTAGTATTTGAATGCATATTCACACAAAATAGTATATTAGAAGGAACAAAGTAATGTTTATTCATATATTTCTTCCACTGTGACCCTTTATAATTTTCAGGCTAAAGGAAGAGAAGAAAATCGAAGCTCATCATTTTCATTCTTGAGTCTTGCATCACTAACACCATTGCGCTCCCTATACTATTACAGTAATGCTGTTGTTTTGAAGACAGTGAAGTTACAAAATTATTTGTCTAAAATTATTTGTGTACTTTTTAGAGTGATTTCCCCACTTAACATCATAGTTATTTGTTCAAGAAATGTATTGTTAAATTCAAAGTTCTTAACAGGTAAATATGGATGATTTTTTTTAAAATCTGGGATAATTTCCACCTCAGTTTCACTCATTCATATGGTTAAACTTGACTTGATTATAAATATAAAGTTTACTTATCACTTGTTATTTTAAAATATTTTTTAAATTATTGATTTCAGAGAGAAGAAGGGAGAGGGAGAGATAGAAACATCAATGATGAGAGAGAATCATTGATTGGCTGCCCCCTGCATGCCCCCTACTGGGGATCGAGCCCAAAACCCTGGCATGTGCCCTGACCAGGAATCAAACTGGGATCTCCTGGTTCATAGGTTGATGCTCAACCACTGAGCCATGCCAGCAAGACTATAATACTAATTTTATTGTTTTTATATTTATACTGAGGATTTCCATAGTTGTCATTCACTCACCCATTCAACATATATTCACAGAGCTCTGACTACTTGCCAGGCACTCTTCTAAGATCTGGAGATTCCACAATAATAAGCAAAATGCCCTGACTCTTGAACCCATAGTCTAGTTGGAGGAGTGGGAGAGTCACCATTATATACTGAAAAGGTTTAGCTTGTAATTTTCTCTTTAGTTAATAGTCTGTGAAAATAATAATGTTTCTTTTTTTTAAAATGACAGCTCAGCATATAGAGCAGATGTCAGAGATTATGATCACAGGGTGCTGCTAAGATTTCCCCAAAGAGTGAAAAATCAAGGGACATCGGATTTCTTACCAAGCCGACCAAGATATTCCTGGGAATGGCACAGCTGTCACCAGTAAGTGGATGGGCCTCCTGGGTACTTTTGAGGTGGTTTTGTATTTTTCAAATGATTTTTACACAAAGGGAGAAAATTGCTGTCTTTCACATTTAGAATTTTTCTGTATGTAGTCTGACATAATCAATGGAATCTGTCTTTAAAATAATACATCAATTATTAGATACTGTTATCTTTTAAATTAGAAACTCTAAGTCCAGTTTATTAAAACTGTTGATAGGGTCCAGTGATTGGATTCACTAGAATTTTACTTCAATATATTTCAAGTAGATTTATAAAAAAGCCCATTGCAGCCAAGATCATCTGTAGTTAGCATTTAACAGCATTTAATAAAGACCACAAGTTGTTATTAAAAGGGTTCAGATACCTTTCTCAAAGAAAGGTGTATATGATATACTCCATGAGCTGAGAAGACCTATCTCCATCTTTCAAAAGACCTGTATCAATACAACTTTGCCTGTTCTGTCCTAAATTTAAAGATTTCCACATTAGGTTATTCTGTAATTAGCCTAGATAAATTGCTCAGGTGTTTATTGCCAGAAAATCCTGATATTTGCCCTTAAACTTTCTTCAGTTTGAACCATTTCCTTTTGTTCTCTTCCTAATGGGAGCAGATGAATAACTCAGCATGTTCTCTTTCATGAAATGATAACAATAGATATGAGCACCTAATGTGCTGATAAAATAGAATTATTCATTTCCAAATAAAAGTTTATACTTGTTAAAATAATAATGGTGGATAAAACATACCATTTTCTCTTTTGCATTTCAGTAATGATTTTAAATCTATGGGAACTCAAATTTCTAAAATCTCACAGAAACCTCCCAAGGGTCATGTGCTCTTCTTTTTTGGAATGAAAGATCAGTATAGCAGCCAAGGGAAATATACTAGAAAACACATGGCAAGTTTCACTTAAACACAGAAATTTACTGTCTATTTCTATTTAATATTCAAAGATAAAACAGGGTATAATAGAAAAGCAAAACACTCAAAATATGTCTTTTTCTTCCAAGTAGCAAAGTTGAAAACTTAGTTTTTATAGACTTCTGACCCTGGATGGAGGCAGGGTGGGGGGGGGGGGGAGGGGAGATAATGCATGAATCTGGCTTTAAAAAGATAAACATTATCTTAATTTTAATGTGCAGACAGACGGGTAGGGCAGCGGGAAGTCATCTGAAGTTCTCACTGCTTTTTCTCTCTCTGCCACTGACCACTGTCCACTGTCTCTGTGTTGTGGGGCACACTAGACATTACCACAGCATGGATGAATTCAGCCACTATGACCTGCTTGATGCCAACACCCAGAGGAGAGTGGCTGAAGGCCACAAAGCAAGTTTCTGTCTGGAGGACACATCCTGTGACTATGGCTACCACAGGCGGTTTGCATGTACTGCGCACACACAGGTAGGTTGGCATCATCAAATCAGGCATCTGCAGGCTTCAGAGAGAAAACAAAGGGGTCTTCTATTTTCTTTCCTCCCACCTGCCTTTTACAAACTGCTTCATTTAGGGGTTATCTAGTCAAGATAGGAGATAATTGAGAAAACAAAAGTGAAGGCTTGATGATCCAAATTATTTTGAAAATATTTTATCATCACAGAAGGTCACTGCAGACTCATTATGTTCCACAATCAAAAGCAGCACTTTACTCTCTGAAAAAGTCTGAATGGTTTCTATATCTGTGCTCATTCTGTATTCTTTCACCGGCTTGGTAAGTAACTGTAGAAAAGATACCTGTTTTCCTACCTGCAAAACCTAGTATGCTAAAAATAGGATACCCGGTGATTGTGGTTAGCAAAAGGAGAGAAAGTAGGCTTCTTAAAAAGCACTTTAAAAAACTGTCTCTTTTAATCATGTAAATAAAAGCAGAAGGATACAATTTCTTTCTTTACACATATATATTTAAGACTACAGTATAATTGATGTCAGATGTTCTTTGGATGAATTTTTAAAAATCATGCTGAACTAAGCAATTTGTGTGTCCTATAATGGGAAAATCTGTGTCAGTTCAAAGCCATGCCAGTATTTCCATAAGAAACTCTAATTTGTAAAAGGACATTATAATTTTACTCCTGCCGAAATCTTGGCAAGGAGTAGTGAGTGTATATGTCTCGGGGCAAGGGGAAGCAAATTCCAGGGCTGTGGCAGGAAGCCTTTGGTGACCTAAATGTTACTGCTGCTTCTTTCTCTAAGCTTAGAATATGAGAGCAATTGGAGGGGGTAGGGTTCAATTCCATGTGCCCTGAGGCAACACTTATTCTTTAAGCAAAAGAAGATGTAACCTACCCATACCTTACAGATGTGTGTCTATAGAAATCCCTTTTTCACTCTGAGAGGCCCCCAGGACCTGCCTGTGAAGGGACCTAGTTTATTCTTTTCATTCAGAAAGAGGCACTGTGGATAGCTCACTGCTGAAATACATGAATCTAGGACTACAGGTATTTATAGCACTTCTAGTCTCTCAATTCTTGGGGTCACCCCACTTCATTTTGTATGGTAGCTTTCCCCTTAACCATCTCATTTATGCCCTATTAACTACTATTCACCAGGTCTCGTATTACAAGCAATTTGTGTTTTTCACTTAGATTGGCATATCATTTAAAGGAAAAAATAATTCTCTCAAAGCCCCAATATTGACTTAGAATAGTTGTATTATAATGTTGATTAAATGTATCCAAATATAAAACTAGATATAACTTCCTTATATTTATCCTATATAATAAAAGGCTAATATGCAAATCGACCTAATAGCAAATGACTGGTTGTTATGACATGCACTGACCACCAGGGGGCAGATGCTCAACGCAGGAGCTGCCCCCTGGTGGTCAGTGTGCTCCTACAGGGGGAGCACCGCTCAGAAGCCGGGCTTACAGCTGGCGAGTGTAGCGGCGGTGGCAGGAGTCTCTCTTGCCTCCGCAAAAGCACTAAGGATGTCCGACTGACAGTTTAGGCCCGCTTCCCTCGGGGAGGAGGCCTAAGCCGTCAGTCAGACATCCCCTGAGGGCTCTCAGACTGTGAGAGGGCGCAGGCCCGGCTGAGGGGACCCCCCACCCTGAGTGCACAAATTTTGTGCACCAGGCCTCTAGTACTTTCATAAAAAATTTATATGTTAAATGTATACAAAACTAGAAACTGTCAGATTAACTTACTGTATCAGTTGTGTTTTGCTAAAACCAAACAGCTAATTTAGACAGCCTCAGGTAAGGTTCTACATTTAATCTGGTTTTAAAGCATGACTTTGAATATATGAAATACCTGTTTCCTTAATGGCCTTAAAAACTCCCATATTTGTTTGCTAGTTCAAATAACCAAAGCTCATACTTAACTTCTGCCAGCTGAGTCATGCTAGAGTACCAGTTTCAGCATTCTTTAAAGCTCTTTTATTTACTTGAAAGTAATATTAACATTGTAGCACTATTTAAACCTGGATTAAAGAGATATCTATTCCAATGACATCCTTGTAATGCCATAAATTTAGTAGTAGCAACAGCAACAACAATAAGAGCTAACACTTATTAAGTATTTATTATGTGCCAGAACAAATGATATGCTGGGATAAGAAAGCAAAAATTATTCTATTACATATTTACTCCTCAACATACTGTTAATGCATTGGTATGAGCAAAGGTGGGTACATGGTTCTCACTGCTGTGGCACAGGTACTTCTGAGTGTGGCCTGTCCATGCTACATTGTGTGTGGTATGAGAGCACAATTCTTCCTCTTTCTCCCCAAATCAGGTTATCATCAAACCAGCACTGGTAGGACATGCTTAGATGATTTTGCCATCTCTTTGGCGACCAAGGTGATCTTAAGCACCAAAGCAATTTGGGGTGCTGAAATTAAATAGCAGTATTGAGTTAAAATGACTCTAGCATATGCTTTTTAATTTACTTTAGATTACCATTAGAATGAAAATACAACAGTAAAAATTCTTGTGAAGAACTAATAGATTTGAGACTGCACCTACAGACTTCAGTATGAACAAACTTCTCCAGACTATAACTTTCCGGAGAGCAAGGACTGTATTTCATTGGTATTCTTCTCCTCGCAGCCTGTAGAAGTCACTCATTTACTTGCTGACATGAGTACCTTAGCAAGTGAAGTGAGGTGGGATGTGTACATTGAGACATACATTCATCCCTTTAATTCAACAAGATATTTCAGTGACTATATGAGAAAGGGTACAGTGTGGTGGGGAACATCAGAGACTCTGGATCCAAATGCCTAAACTCAAAACCAACTCAGCCACTTATAAGCTATATATCTTCCACGAGTTATTTGACCTTACTGTGCCTCAGATTCCTTATTTGTAAAATAGGGATAATAATAGCACCTGCCTCATGTAGTTCTGGGAACTAAATTTATGTTTAAAATGATTCCTGGCATGTAATACATAATTACTGTTAGCTATTCAAAAATGCAATCATAGACCTTACCCTTAGGGAGCTTACAACCTTCAGTTAGGTGTTTTTATATAGTATGATTATAATTCAGAGCAGAAAAGGATAAATACTATAAAGCTATATACACAAGAAAGTATCATGGGCAGAGTACAGGAAGTAATTTCCAAAGGTCGAAATTGGGGAAGGTTGTACTGAGAAGAGAATATTTGAGCTAAATTGATTAGTATGTGGCCTTTGTTCTTGAGCTGGTGATAGTCTAGAATTTTGGTGGAGGTCTATTTTGTCACTTAAGATTATACTTATCACTGGTGATTTATGACACTTTTATGAAGCTAGATATACTACTACTTATATTAGGCAGGTTTTTTGTTTGTTTTTTGGCTGGAGGTGCTATAAAGCTGAGTAAAATATATTTCTCAAGGGAGATGCAATATAAGTATAGTTGTACTTACAAACTCTTGTAAGTACTAACTTAAAATCTAATTTACAAATAATATGCATATTCCCTCTCCTCTCTCTCTCTCTCTCTCTCTCTCTCTCTCTCTCTCTCTCTCTTTTTGTTAATCCTTCATCCAAGGATATTTTCCCATTGATTTTTAGGGAGAGTGGAAGAGAGAGGGAAAGACAGAGAGAAACATCGATGTGAGAGAAACACATCAATTGGTTGCCTCCTGCATGAGCCCCAACCAGGACCCGTGCCAGGGAGAAGCCTGCAACCAAGGTACGTGCCCTTGACCAGAATCAAACCCAGGTCCCTTTGGTCCACAGGCTGACGCTCTATCCACTGAGCCAAACTGGCTAGGGTTAATATGCATATTCTTTAGCATACTCTAACCATACACCATCTTTTTAAATTTTTTATTTTATTTGTTTTAGGGGTTGAGTCCTGGCTGTTATGATACTTACAATGCAGACATAGACTGCCAGTGGATTGACATCACAGATGTAGCACCTGGAAACTACATCCTAAAGGTAGAGACCTTTGAGAATATATAGCTGTAACTTATTTCCACTGCAATTTGATAGATCCCTTTCTCTGGATTCAAATGTTAGATAATCATGACCCTGAAAGCAATTATACATTTTCTATAACTATTTCTAAATGATCCCAGATATATGATGATATCTCCCAAAATGTCTTATTTTTAAAAACTTGAGGGGAAAATATACAACCTCTCCAGAGTTTAACCTTTGCCTAAAACTTCACCCTCCCTGCCTCTATGAGTTGAAGCATGGTAGCCCTATGAAAACAGGAAGAAATTAACCAGTAAACACTGCTAATAAAATCTGAAATACAGATGATGTTTGTGTTGCCTAGGTCAGTGTGAACCCCAGCTACTTGGTGCCTGAATCGGACTATTCCAACAATGTCGTGCGCTGTGACATTCGCTACACAGGACATCATGCGTATGCCTCGGGCTGCACAATTTCACCGTGAGTCTGACTTGCCTAAGTGATACTCTTTCCCAAGCGTTTTAGTTCATCAACAGGCATTAAACAAATAATATTTGCTTCTATCATTAGTATAGCCTCCTTGCAAACTAGACCGAAGGTAGAAAATGGTCTGCACTATCACATAGCTGATCTTTTTTTGGCAATGCTAGAGAAAGAAGGGTGTACTCAGCTTTTTAGCATCTTAAAACTTAGTTCTGAAGAAACACACCCACACACAGAGAACACACTGTTTACCCAGAAAGCATGTGTGGAGGCCGAATATGTGAAATATGCAATACGCAGTGTGGGTGACCTTGTGGGAGCCCAAACGGTTGGGTTTCCTGCTGCTGCCAGAGTCCATGACGGAGTTCTGGAGAAATTCCTAGAGTTCCTCAAAGTACATTCTGAAAAATCACTGCCTTAAAGAATGCAGCTGAAGGGATCAGACTGCCTGCTCTGTGAAAATCAAGAGTTCACATGTCTGAGTTCTAGAACAAATACTGGGAAATATTCCACAAAAGAAGGGATGTGTGGAGGTACCTTCATCATTTTCTTAGTCCTGAAACCTTTCTCCAAATGACATCTTAGATAGAATCCCAGCACATTAATATTAACAGGAGTGGTGTGTTGATGACAGTACTTAGCAAAAGCTGGGCAGGTTTCCTGCTTGTCTGTCCGTCTCACCCTAATGCAGTGGTTCTCAACCTTCCTAATGCCACGACCCTTTAATACAGTTCCTCATGTTGTGGTGACCCCCAACCATAAAATTATTTTCATTGCTACTTCATAACTGTAATGTTGCTACTGTTATGAATCGTAATGTAAATATCTGATCTGCAGGATGTATTTTCATTGTTACAAATTGAACATAATTAAAGCATAGTGATTAATCACAAAAACAATATGTAGTTATATATGTGTTTTCTGATGGTCTTAGGCAACCCCTGTGAAAGGGTCATTCGACCCCCAAAGGGGTCGCGACTCACAGGTTGGCGACCCACAGGTTGATAACCACTGCCCTAATGCCTTAAGCACTGCCTGCTTTAGTGTTGCTGGGTTAGAGAGTCTAACTACACGTGCCACCTGTGAGCGGCACCTTCTGAACAATGAGCACACCATGAGAGTGATACTGACAACGCATCAGCTTTGCTTTTACGCTGGAGAGGCACCGGTGCCTCTGGGTCACACAGAAAGGTGTAACAGATACACTAGAAACTCACAATTAATAGTAATTTCTCCCTGATGTACCAACCAGGACAGTGGTTCACCACACATGCACCCGTAGTTGTAGGTTTCCCCAAGACCACCTAAACCGGTTGTGCAGGTTCTGCCTTAGACCTGGACTCCTGTCCCATGCTCCACTCACAGAGCCACCTCCTGTGGCTGGGGCTGCATTCACCTTACAGAGGCGCCTTTTCCTCATTCCCATGAATGAGCAAAGGCTGTGCTTTACAAGTGTCATCACGTGCCACTTTCCATCACATGCCATTCAAGGTCAATGAAGCTTGTAACTGCAAAGGCACAGCACTGAACAAATGATGATTAAACATATTCTTCTGAACATGCCCACAACACAGGAAACCTGGATGGGTTTATGACCCATATAGTACAGAGTGATCACAGTGTAACTGCAAATCCCCAGAACAGCAATGGAATTTGGGTTATCTTAATTTTTATAATTCCTTCATTCTCTAATCCTTGGTACTCTCACACGTGCATTATGTATTTATTGAGGTACTACACTGGGTATTAGAGAGCAATGCAAGGATAAATAAGATTCCTGACCCTGTATAGCAATAATTCCAATAATTCCAATTAAATTACTTGTGAATCTTTGTTCAATGTTTGTCTCTTGTTCTACTATCATAGCCGGGACCTCGCTTCTTGTCTACTGTAAACCCATTACCAGGTATAGGTCTGCCACCACATAGCCTCTTAGTCAATATTTGATTAATAGATAATTACCCTCTCTTTAGGAAATTGAGAGGGTGAGAGAAATACACAACTGTAATAAACAAACAATGAGGAGCTCCACGAGGGGTAAAATAAAATGCAGTGGGGCCAGGACCTCTGTAATAATAAGCTAGGTGACTCCCAGGTACAACCGCTAGCTTTGCTCCAGGATGAGGTCTGGAGAGATGACTCTGTTGTTTCACAGAATGTGTCTTGCTTTTCATCCAGTAGAATCCATTGAATTGGATGTTGCCAGACATTTCCTTTTTCTTTTTTTAAAATATGTTTTTATTGATTTCAGAGAGGAAGGGAGGAGAGAGAGAAACATCAATGATGAGAGAGAATCATTGATTGGCTGCCTCCTGCATGCCCCTACTGGGGATCAAACCCACAACCTGGGCATGTGCCCTAACCAGGAATTGAACCTTGACGTCGTGGTTCATAGGTTGATGCTCAAACACCACTGAGCCATGCCAGCCAGGCTGCCAGATATTTTGAGCAAATAAACATTGTTTCAGCCTAGAGTTGCCTTTTCTTTTTTTAACCAGTTGCCACTGACTGTAACTAAACTGCAAGAGTGGTTGAGGTAGAATTTTGATAATGAATATTGATTAGATGAAAATGTGAGTTTAATAACCCATAGTTAGTGAATCATAAATAAGATCATACTTATCCATGAATGGAAAAAAAATGGGAGAAGTGCAGAAACCTCGACTTGAGAAAGAAATCCTCACCTTCAGCTGACTGCCTCTTACACTTTCACTTCCAGCCTCCCTTGCTAGGGATCAGAGTTCAGAGGAAGGGGAGATGTCCTCTGGCTGAGAATCAGGAGAGGCTTTAGGACAGCATTTGAATTGGGCCTTGAAGGCTGAGGAGGACTGCACTGGAGAGAGTTTGGCAAGAGCATGCTCTGAATGTCAGAGGGGAGGTGGGGTGAGGACCAACCAGGGAACTTATATGCATATATGCATAGCCAATGGACACAGACAATAGTGTGGAGAAGACTTGGAAAGGGTAGGTGAGGAGAGAAGGGGGTCAATGGGAAAAAAGGAGGAGGGACATCTGTAATAATATCAACAATAAAGATAATTTTTTTTTAAAAAAGCATGCTGGGAGGAGTCAACATCACTGACACCTACATGGCAGGAAGAAATTGCAGGATATGTTTGGAAAAGCAAGTGTTCTGGTTTGGCTAAAACATGTTCCATGGAGTGAAGAGTTAGGTAAAAAGGGTGGAGCAGTAAAATGGGACCAGATCAAAGAGAGCACTGAAGAGCAAGACAGAAAGTTAGAACTTCATTTTGGAGGCCATGCAGAGTCTTTACGGTTCTTGGGTGGGGAGCATATGTAGCCTAAAGTTATGTGGTCAGTCTGGTGACTAAGTAGCAGTGGGTGTGGTTCCCTTGGTAGTGTTATTGTACTTTTTAACTCTTAAAGACATATTACCTCTCAGTTTACTGATGTTTTTCACATGAATGAAATATTTGAGAGCATTCATTGGCGTGAACAAAGCACCCAGTTAGAAAGTGTGTGCCTTTAATGTATCCTCTTCTCCCTCATTTTCCTCATTGTATACAAAACATATAGACCAAGTGACTTTGCGGTCCAGTTCAGTTCTATGATGCTACAATTAAGTTCTCTTCTCACAGACATTACTGTTGGGAAATTTATGGTTTATGATTTGGACTAAGTGCATTCTTATTTCCTTTACATGGGGAATCTGTGATCATAATGTAAACACACTAATATTGATGTATTGGCTTTGATCCAGTGTCTTGCACATTAATGCCTCACTACACATCCCAAATCATGCTGGGAAAGGACTAATGCAGGACCGTGAGAGGCCATGGCCCTGCTTCTTGGTGCACATGCCACACTTGCTCCATGGAGTGAACTCACCCAGGCAGAGCTGCTGTTCTGATGAGTCCTGCTTTACTTTTGGTTGTTTCAGTAGATTTTTTTTTTAACCATAAATATCAGGCATATACTTTCTGCTGCTGACAGAGTTACTTTCTTTAAATCAGAGTTAAAATCAAGTATTGTCCCTAGCTGCATTGTCCTGATATGCCAATGTTGCAGGTTCGATCCCCTGTCAGGGCATATATAAGAATTAGCCAATGAATGCATAAATAAATGGGAAAAGAAATTTATATTTCTCTCTCTCTCTCTCTCAAATAAAAAAAAATTTTTTTCTCAATCAAGTATTAATGGATAATTTCATAAGGTAACTGCTACTTAGGTGGAGGAAAAATGATATCTCAATTTTTTAAAAGATTGACTTCAAACTTGTCTACTGTATTCATTCATAATATTATCAGGTTAATAACTTATCTTTTGTTTTTTAATATAGGTATTAAAAAGCAAGCCAAGACTCCCAATGGATAAATCAGTGCCTGGTGTTCTGAAGTGGGAAAAATAGATTAACTTCAGTAGGATTTATGCATTTTGAAAAAGAGAACAGAAAACAACAAATGAATTTTTGTTTGGACTTTTTTATAACTAAGCACGTAACTGGATTTTGAACATTTAAATTGGCATTGTTTGGAAAAATTTTAATATTATTATCCACATTATTTTGTGAATTAACATGTTTCAATTCTGTAGTTGCACCCTTGGCTCTTTCAAAGAAATCTAAATTTATGCTCTTTTTGAAATTATAATACAGAAGAGAAAGTAATATTGCAATGAATGAGCCAAAATTACTTTGAACTGGGAATTTTCTAAAGTGCTATAACTTAAGTGAACTACGGTAATCATTGGCTTATATATGTCCTGGCTCCTACTGTTTAAATAGGTATGGACACATTTGGTGCTGAGAAAGGAACAAATGCATTACCATTGGTCTCAAAAAATATTACTATATAGCAGAGAAATGGCAGTATATGTATTCAGATAGCTACATCCCTATATAAAATTTATGTTTACATTTTTTAATTAGTAGATAAACTTTCTTTCTGTCAAGTGTACAATTTCATTCTGACATACGTCAGTTTTTATTTTGGGACAAATTAAGTAATTGAGCTGCCCAACTCTCCCTGACATTTGTTGATGCTCCACTCTACTCTTTAATTTTCCTATGGGCAGAGACCTTTTAAGTGGCATCTTAAAATTACCCTTCTGGGGACTGGTATACATAGGACAACTGTGTCAGTGGGAAGTTATTCTGATGACAAACATGATATATCAAAAGCTAATGCACAATTAAGTATATTGAAGTACTAGCCAAAAATTTTTTCTTACAGACATAAAATAAAAAGTAAAATTAACAAGTCCCTCAAACTACAACTGTCTCTCAAATAATTTTTAAAAAGTAATGAAAACCATCTTAGAATTTTCTACATTTAAAAAAATGTTCAGCTTTAAAAAGAGGAATGCTAGACAGTTTTAAGTTATCCAGAATAGATGACATAATGTGTGTGGATACAGGAACCGTATCCTATGTCATCCAGGAATCAGTCGTGTGTGTGTGTGTGTGCGTGTGTGTGTGTGTGTGTGTGCGCGTGTGTGTGTGTCTGAAATATAATCAAGATTAGCAAAGCACACAGCATTATGTACTTGAGGGGTTGGTGAATAAGGGTAAAAAAAAAAAAATACTTTCGGCAAAACCAAAGGCTGTGCTGCATAATGAGACAGCTGTGCTTTTATTTTAAACTGTGAAATCATGTGCCACAACAGAATTGGGAGGCTTTCTCTTTTTCCTAGATTCAAAAGGTGCAGAAAGAAATCAAATTACACTTTTAAGTTAGTGGTGCTTAAGCAGAAGTTTTTCTATATTAACCAGTATTAAAATCTCAAGCAAGGTACTTCAAGTGCCAGGACACAGAGGTAGAATTTAAAAATGAGTTGGCCTCCGTGTATTACATGCCATGGAGTTGTAAAGTCAACACCATTCAGCATTCACTCAGTGCCTAGAGCGGTGAGAGGTGCTAGAGATGGACAGTCATTGAGGGGTGGATAATGGAGGGCCACAGATCTACATCCGCCAGGGCACACTTCCCAACAGAGAACACAGACAGCTTAGTAGAGATCAGAGCCTTCACTGAGCTAGTATCTGAGCTATGGGATAGCTTCTTTGATGTACCTCTTTGCCTTAAATTGCTTTTTAGTTATAAGATTGCAGAAAGATACTTTCTTTTAGATTATAATATTTTCAAATATTTTAACATACTTACTTTTAGAAAAACAAAAAACTACTGTCAGTATTAATACTGAGCCAGACTGGCATCTACAGATTTAAGATCTATTAGTACAAGATTCTTACCCCTGTATTAAAAGCTAGCCAATATCATGGCCTTTGGATACACGAGATGATACATTTACTATCATTCATTAGGCCCTCCATCTGTCTGTCCATCCATCATCATTTGAGGGCCTAATATATGCCAGGCACTGACATGCTAGGCATTAGGATATAAAAAAAGATTTTCTCTAACCTCAATTAAGTATTAAAAATGTCATTATTATCCTTTAGGTTCACTTTATTTCATTTTTAACAATTATAAGTACATGTCTAAAAATTTTTATTTTAAGCTCTATTGTTTTTCATGACCATATTTTATTTTAAAAATAAGTTAAAAATTAATAGTTATATGCATGTATGTGTTACTAATAATTAAAAATGTTTCCAATCCCTGAACTGTCTGCCTTTTAAGTATAAAATGTACTATTTGAATGATTTTGAAAAAAAAAAGTTTCAATTAGGAAGTAAAGATTCTTACTTAATCCTTATGCATTCTTCCCCCTCAGTCATCCCTCAACACTCCCTTAACACTCAATATTTTTGAACCTCAAGGGATCTCTTCTTTGAATAACCACAAAAACTCATAGAAAATGACTAGCTGGTAAAAGTTATCCATTAATAAAATAAACAATCCAGCCTTACAAACCCTAAATTAAAAAAATTAAATAGAAAGTAGAAATAATACAAAAAATGTTGAGTAGTGAAAAGAGACTGGCTTTTAAACTAATAAAGACTGTGAAAAAAATGGGCTAAACAGGGAAACAATTTAATGAGTCTTCCACACACCATATTAAAGGCCTCATAATTATTCAGACCACAGTCTGGACTAAAGATGTCTTGACCTTGGGGGTGAGGATTCAGTTTCCCAGCAGTACCAGAACATATGAATCTATAACTTGCCTATTTCTAGGAAATCTTTACACTTTTACATAATAAACTTATTCACAATTTCAATCACTAGGCATTATTTGTAATAATGAACAATAATTGTTTTTTATTTGAAACCTCATAGAATAATCACATTTAAACATTCCAAATATTCAGATTTCAGAGGACATGCCATGCATTAAAATGATCATGGCACTGAGAAATCACCTTTAGCAAATTGTGTGAAATATACAATTTCTGGTCAGAAGATGTCTTATTTTAAAAATAGCTTTTTGACACTAACAGTATAGTAACTGATAAGTAAAAAGTTACCCCTTTTCTACATTTTTTTATATTTAGAATCCATATTCACAAATAATACATTCAAACAACAGCTATATTTCATTTTCAGCTACCAAAAGTCCTGGGCCACTTTTAAACACTTCAAGCATTTCATTTATCTTTTAAACTAAAATGGTGCTGAATTATTTCAACTTGAATGTAAAAATGTGTTGTCTTAGTTCACAGGATATAAACATTTAATTAATATATAACTGCTTGCTACTAACTACATGTCATTTGATATTGTAATACTTTCAATGAAATTTTAGTTTCTTCCAAAATTTCTAGGAATCCTATTTGTAAAACATCTGTAAGTTTTTTGAGGAGCTCTTAATTTACATGCCCTGACACTGGCTTTATAGTCTTTTTTACACTCACATTCTTTCATTGTATGCTATACTACGAGTGCAAAAATGCCTTGAATAAATGATTTCAAGTATCCATACTGGTCATTTGTTGTTACATATAAATAAATGATATGAACTTCATTTTAGGTTAAAATCTAAAAGCCCATGTATATGGTTTGTGGTTTTTCTTAGTTGCCTTTTGTATTAACAAACTGTTTAATAAGCTCACATGACTTGAAATTTGTCTATGATGGATAAAAAGAAATCTAGTTGATGTTTTAAAAAAGAAACTATCATATATGAATGGATCCTAACTTTTGTCACCATTACCAGTCACTTCAAGGACACAGAGCAGGCATTGAGAGAACGACCACATTCTATTTTAATTAGGATTTATAAGAAATATGCATAAGCATACATACACTCAGGGGACACATTCAACTCAAGCTACAAACTAGCCATAAAAAGAGAAACATTGCTATCATAGAAATCCTTATTTAAATGTTTACCAGATTAGCCTGGAAGCTGATAACCTGAGAAAACAACCTGCCCCAAAGTGTGGACAAATTTTTTTGGGGGGGAGGGAAATTCACAAAATTAATCCACAAAACAATTCACCTTTAAAGAGCTCTTACAGGTAAAACAGATGTAGGCTTGTGGTTGGCAGTTTGGAGATTTAAGTTGTAGAATATCTGGTGATACTCTGAACGAACAATTTTCTGCTTCCCTAGCCTGCTCAAGGTAAAGTATCTGAATACACTTTCCTTATTAATGCAAAAGATAATTTTCTTTGTCCCATCAATGTTCAGTATTTCTCACACTGTTCAATATTAGCTCATTAACCAAGATGGGGAGGGCAGATCATTCCCTTTTGTTAGAAAACTTGACTGCCTTATGCTACTCATTTATTAATACTAGTTTATTAATATTTGTAATCCTTGCCACAGATATTAGTAGAGGATTATTAACCCACAGGTTGAATATATCACTTGCGTTGCAGTAATCTGTAGCTTACATTTAAACAAAGCTCTTGCATCATATCTCTTTTTAATTTGAAAAAGTAAAATATTTATTACAGAATTAGGAGAATATTGATTTCCTCAAGCATATATTGAGGGAGTCTCATTTCACAAGACAATCTACTAAAAAAAGAACCCAATGTAAAATAAGAAAAATGTTATCTGTGGCAGATATTCACAATACATATTACCATATTCAATAATTCTAAGCAGTCCTGTAGTAAAGAAACCACTTTATAATGTTATTATCTAGTGTTTCTCAAATTTGTTTTTCCATAAATATCTGTTTCAAATAGCATTTACTATGCTGTCAAAATGTTGTTTTTTCATGGAAAACTCTGGGATATGCCATATTAATTAATTATCAGCTCATAAAAATGAGATTATTTGAAAATTACTTAAAACAATATATGACAGTAGCAGCATTAAAGAGATAGGAAACAGGAATACCTGAAACCCACCAATTCACTACCTGCCTTGCTTCCTAAAAACTGCATGATTAAATAAATAAGTAAAACAGATGTAGAACGATCCTTTTAATGGATCTTTCCATCTCTAAACCATGTTTTATTTTAGAAGGAAATATAGACCTTTCTATATTTGTCAGATAACCTGAATGCTTTTAGGTACTCTCTCCTTTCCCAGTCCTGCACTAGAGATTGAGAGACATAGAGGATCTACCTAATACACAGTCACAAACTCAAACAGACAGCCAACATGAGGAGACAACCCCCAAATGAAAAAACAAGAGATAAATGAAGAAGAGATAAATGAAGCAGAGATATGAAATTTATCTGAAATAGAGTTCAGAGTAATGATGGTAAAGATGCTCAACTGCATGAAAAAAGATATAGTAACTATGAAAAAAGAACAATTAGAAATAAAGAATGACATAACACAAATAAAGAACACATTGGAAGGAATACACAACAGGTTAGGGCAGTGGTCGGCAAACTGCGGCCCCTTGAGTGTGGCTGTTCCACAAAATACCACATGCGGGCGTGCACATACAGTGCGATTGAAACTTTATGGCCACACTCAAGGGGCCAAAGAGCCGCATGTGGCTTGCGAGCCGCAGTTTGCTGACCACTGGGTTAGGGGAAGCTGAGGATCGAATCAGTGAATTAGAAGACAGGGTTGAAAAAAATCACTCAGAGAACCAAAAAGAAAAAAAAATATTAAAAGACAGGAGGACAGTTTAAGGGAGCTGTGGGACAACGTGAAACGTAACAATATTAGAATAGCAGATGTACCAGAAGAGGCAGAAAGGGGGAAAGGGATAGAGAACATGTTTGAAGAAATAATGGCAGAAAACTTCCCTAACCTGGTAAAGGAAAAAGTCACACAAGTTCAGGAGGCACAGAGAACCCTAAACAAGAAGAACCTAAACAGGACCACACCAGACACATCATAATTAAAATGCCAAAAATTAAAGACAAAGAAAGAATCTTAAAGGCAACAGAAGAAAAGAAAACTGTTACCTACAAAGGAGTTCCCATAAGGCTGACGCCTGATTTCTCATCAGAAACTCTACAGGTCAGAAGGGAATGGCATGAAGTACTCAAGGTAATGGAAAGCAAGGATCTGAAACCAAGATTACTATATCCAGCAAGGCTATCATTCAAAATAAGCAGTCAAATGAAGAGCTTCCCAGACAAAAAAATGCTAAAGGAGTATATCACCACCAAACCAGAACTACAAAAATTGCTAAAGGGACTGCTGTAATGAGAAGAAGAAACAGAGAGAGAAACCTAGGCATACAGAATTAAAATGGCAATAAATAAGTACCTATCAATAATAACCCTAAATG